AATAGCATTTACTAAATTCATTGTGGTATTTAGTGCAAATTTTAATTGACAATTTAATACAAAAACAATAATGAATTATTGCACTTTACTTTTCACTCAAAGCACACATGAGTAAACTTTGTTTTTTTTTTTTGTGTTGTTGTTGTTATAAAGGGTTTAATTTTTGTATTGTTGTTTGGTTTATGCACTGAAATTTTTCAACAATTGCAGTAATGCATTATTACAAATTTTCTGTTTAATTTTACACTTTAATATAGTTGAAAAATTTTTTTTTATATAGCCATAAACAAAGCCAGAAAATCTGTCACGGTCGCCATGTAGTGATGATTCCCGTATACCGATTTGTTTCAATCGGTATACGGGATTGAATTATTCAATTATGTTTTAAGACTGTTTTATTAATTAAAATCTTTTTACAAAGTTGGTATTTGTGGAGGAGCACTGTGCGTTAGCATACTGTGAGAATTTGCTGAATTGGCGTCTTCACACGCCAGCCCAAACACTATCGTCAAACGGACGGTAGGGGCTCATATTGCAAAAATGCAATAAAGGTATAATAAATATCAGCATACTTATTTACTCACATAGTGTATGCTTATGCACGCTACAATTGACACCACTCGTTCTGACAATTATTTCTATTTTTCTTATTGTTTTTTTTTAATTGATATTTTTCTTTAATTGCCATTTTTTTTGTTTTTGTTTTTTAACTTTCTGTTTGTAATATTTATTTTTCTATTCTAAATTTCTAAATTTTTAATCTTAAATTTAAAATTTTTTTATTCTTTAATTTAATCTATGTTTTAATTAAATTTCTTCTCTTTCTTTCTTATATTTTTGATTTTATACTTTTTTTTTTGCTTTATTATTTAATAATTTGTAAATTGTTATATATTGAGAAAATAATACCTCTTTTTATCTCTTTTTTTTTTGTTAGTTTTTAAGTTAGTTATACGATGATGCAATAAAAGGGTTTTTTGACCTTTAAAGCATTTTTTAAATAAATAAAAGAAAATATTATAAACAATTTATTGAAAATAGTATAAAAAATAGTACTACTTATTGTATTCCTACTTACTATACAAATAATTCGACATATCTTCTTCAGATGGAATGTATCTCTTCCTAGAAACATACATATATGGTTTTACATAAAAAACCGCAATGAATAAACAGACGTCTTCAAGTGCTCGCTTATCCTTGGTGCTAGTTTTAAACTGTGATTACAACAAACATATCTTCAAAGAGTAAATAGCTCTAGCCATCCACCTTGCTTGATGCATCGTTCCATGAGGTCTAATTTTAATTTTTTTTCACTGTCTCCTAAGAAAATAATAGATAGTTCAATCAGTTCCCGATAATTGTCACGTCCAATGGTTTTTTGCAGCTCTTGATTATAAAATGTCAACAAATCTTCTATTGTTGTTTTACAAAAACGTCGTGTGACGATATCGGTATATGATTCATAGTTTCCAGTTTCTAAACTTTTTGAACAGTGGGATATCGGGGCTACTTGTGACTTGGTGGATTTTTGTTTCCAACACACATTTTAAAACCAGTTCGTAAACGTGATGGCGGCAAGCAAAGAGTAGTAATTCCCTGTCTAATTTTTGTTCCAAAAGTATACAAGATTCTTTCAATCGCATTGTATTAGACGCAGTTGTGTCACACCATATTATTTTTACTTTATCATTAAGGTTCCAGTCATAAAGTGCATTCAACACAGCTTCAGTTTGATCCTGGCCGAAGGAGCTCTCCAGTATGGATACAGCTAGAAGCTGTTCCTTTTTTCCAAATGAAATTAGAATTAGCAGGAGTTATTCTGTAGAACTTCTCACGTGAAGTCCAGGTAATAATTTCCTATCCCAGTGATCGGTCACCATTTCAGACATATTATTCTGAAAATCTGATTTTATGGATTCCGCTCTAACTTTTCGACTCTGTGTGCGAATACGCTTTCATCATCAGAGCTGGGAAGTTTATCGTAAAGTTCTTGGATTTGAATAGAATCATGCATAGTAACAGATGACGATAAACCTTTGAAACACATATGTTCACATTTTTTTTCTTTTCATTTAATTTCCTTTATCTTGCTCCTTCTTCTTTTTCGGCTAATTTTTTGTCTACACCCGCTAAACACCCTGGACGCCCTGGTTCTCTTTGTTTTGTACAAAATATCTTATCTTCTTTAATTTTCATCCGTTCAAAAGCATCAGCGTGTGCTATATTAAATAAATTATCTAAATTGTTCTTAAAATCGTCCTCACGGCGCTTGTAAATATCTTGTATTTTTTTAGAATTTTTTTGTAACTCTCTCCATGCATGGTGAAGATCCACAAGTTTTTTTACACAGTTAGGTAAAGATCTGGTAGGTATTCTAACTTTTTCCCAAAATATAATACACTCCCGAATGGCGAGATTAGCGCTTTCACTAACAGTCAATTTAACTTCGCGAATGTTAAAAAAAGTACTACAAGAACTTGATGATTATATGGTAACTTTGCGCTTGTTATTTGATCATTTACGTCACCAACTAAGAAACACATTTTTTATTGCTTCTTAATTCCAATGCCATCTTTTAAATGTAAAATAATACGTATTAATCGCGAGAATAATTTAAAACAAATGTCGTGAATATGCACCGCTATTACCGCGTATCATATATGAACATAATTCGATGAAAGTAGGCACGGGTTATCGTACTGTAAATAAGGTAAAAATTTATTTTCGAATATTTTAGATGCACATGAACAAAACTAAGACCTATGCGTTAGAAATTTAAAACTTCGAAAACTAAGGGACCCTAATATATATATATATATATATGTATATATATATACATTGTGGTTTTTCTGCAGAAGTTGTTCTGTCAATTTCCATTTGATGTATTTTATAAGCAAAAAAACTACTGACGCACAGAAAAAATATTTAGCAATATTCGAAAAACTAAAGAAGTTTAGAGTGTGTTTGGCATTAATTTTAAGTTGACATTTCTGTTCGAAGGTTTGACATTTTCTACCATAAATGTAATTATAACGATTTTCACGATTTTTGACACGGATTAGCAAGAAGAAAATGCATCAGTCAACTTAGTTCGATATTTGATGATAAAATACCACATCCAATGACTGTAAAGCGCTGGTTAAACGAGTTTGAGTGTGAATTTGATTTTCAATACGACGAATTTCTGACTTTCGAATTTCTGACATTGATGCAGTGCTAGAAATTATGGAGATGGATTGGTATGTTGTATACCGAGATACAGTGGCGTCCTTGGGATCAGTATACATTCAATTTTATATATGCATTTAGCTGTCAGAAAGAATTGTTTCCATTGGATTACGCATAATTTAAAAATTGCTCAAAAGAAGATACGTAATGATTAGTGCAAGGAAATGCTGAAAAATAGGACCGAGGAAAATTAAAACACGTCTACATTATCGTGACAGATGACGAATCATGCTTCTGAGCTCGAAACAAACCAGCAATCTATTGTTTGGGTCTACCAAAATGAGCAGCACCCGACATAATCATGTTGCAACTGTACCATTTGAGCAATGTAGAACGGTTAGTTCTTAGTGGTACACAATCATTTGTTTGCCTGAAGTTTTTGTAGAATTGAAAAAATCAATCGTCGAAGGAAGATTACCCTCTACCACGACAATTCGAGTTTCCATACATCAGTTTAAATAAAAAAGTTTTTAGGCACTCAAAGCACTACATTAATAGATCATCCGTCTTACAGTTCCGACTTTTCTTTTTCTACACCCGAACAGGCCGTTGAGACATTCAAAACCCTGATTTTAAGGATACCAACATCACCAACATGCGGTGTTCGAAAATCCAGCATAGATCATCTCCGATAGGGGTTTCCTCTAGAACAATTTTATTTCTATTGCAAGGTGCAGATATTATACAATTCCAAATAAAAGCAGGTTTGACATGTGTCAATGACCAGCTCAACGCTGTCGTCAGCAACATTTTGGTTAAAAAAGTATTGATGATCTCACGAGACATTATCGTTGTACTGAAAAAGTACAACAAGCGATCAATTCTACATAATCTGAATATATTAAAATTATTTTTTTCAAATTAATGATTGGTGTAAAGATGAAAACTCAGTATGACATCAGTGCTTAACAGTTAATTAATGACGAGTTAAAGCTGCAATTTGATGATGACCGGCGATAGTTGCGTCAGCAAGCGAAACAACAATTTCAAAACATGGAAGCGAAAAATTGAATATCATGTCATTCACATCGAAAACTAGCAGTTTTTTCAAGAGAAGCGATTTAATAGCTTCTCGTTCTGTATTATACATAATGTCACACATCTTTGTATTGCGAGGTGATTTTTTATTGTTGATTTTTCTAAAGTTGGCCTTCAAACTAATATTCCATATAGAGGGATGGGTTTAATTATTTCAGGTTACTTTTAACTTTTGCAATGCTTCACTTGGTAGTCCTTTTAGTTGGTCACAGATTGTCTCATGTTTGTTTGGCTAATTGACCAAGAACAAGTCGATTGAAATACAACTCTCATTTTAGTAGTTTGGTTTGATACCTCTATATTTTTCTTTAAATTCAGATATCCACACGATATTTATAGATATAAGAAATATAATATAAGAAATATAACTTATTCTGTTTCATATATGGCATTGAATTATTTAATTTCTTCATATTCATATATCTGCAAGAAAATATTTCAAAATAAAATCAGATTGTTATTGCATTAAAATTTATAAACAGTATTTAGGTTACCGTGCTTTTCTATTTACTAATGGCACTAGGTTAGATTATGGTAATATTGCAGTCGATATGATTAAAAAACTTATTAAAAGTTTTTATTAATTAACTTATCTTTAATTAATGAAAAATATAACCCAATTCAAGCGATTTCTATTCATCGACAACTTCAAACAAAAAAAATAAATAATGCTTGTATATTAATGACATTATTATTATCACATAAAAATAAACAATATTTATATTATCTTTCAGAAAACAGTGGAGAACAACAAAATATTATAACATCTGAAGAAAAATTCACAAAGCTGAAACTTATGTATGCACAAATTAGAGATGAACATATCCACCTATTACGACAGGTCTGTATTTAAAATATGTATAAGTAGTAATTTATTTTATAAACAGTCTTAACATGAAGAAGGTTACAATTTATTTTTTCATAACTTAACATATATTGTTACGAGATTAATATTAATTTTAAAATATAATAACTAAAATAAAATTGAACAACTTCAACTCATTTTATTTCAATCAAAGTAAACTAATTTTATTTTTATTTTTGTGGTTATTTATATAAATACCGCCAACGTTTCAAAGTTTATTTGACTTCTTTCCCAAGCCGCAGTAATATTATAACTGCTTTTGGGCACATACAAAGTTGTTATTTACACTAGAATCTGTTTACAAATTTAATTTTAAACATTGAAATATTGGCTATTGGCAAAGTAGCCACAAAACAATTAAATTTAACAATAAGTATTATTTATCTACATAGGTTGGTCATTACTAGCCATTGTTTGATAAGAACACACGCAACTAGATTGGGTAGTCGCAATAGGGGTTTCTCAGTTATCGAATATTTATATAATTGCTCGTTTGTTGTTACATGTCCAAATTAATGCATATATATTTGTGTTGCAAATGAAATTGAAACGAGGTTATCAAACGAGGAAATATCTATGACAATTAAAGACACAATAATAGAAGTAGCAAACAATGAAGGCGTGGTCAGATCTAGAAGGATAGAAGTTTGGATGACGAGTGAAATCCTGGCATTAGTGGACGAATGAAATCGGTATAAAAATAAAGATACTCGCAAATATAAGGATATACACAGATATATATGTCTTCTTATTATACAAGCAGAAGACGGGTTTTACAAAAACGAATGTGATGAGAAAAGGATATAGGATTTATTTAAATTACACAAGGAAATTAAAAATATGACGACTTTTAATAAAAGAAAGAGAAGCACACTAATGGATAAGGAAGGTAAATACATAACAGAAAAAGACGAAACACTTCGCATGTGGGAAAGCTATATCCAAACTCTCTTTGCGAGCAATCGATCATCCGTGCTATCCGATCTAACAGTTGATTCAGGTCCAAATATATTCTTTGATGAAGTTCAAAAAGCAATAGATGGTGTACCAACAGAATAGAATACCAACAGAATTGGTGAAATTATTCAAGCACAATGGCGTACTAAATTTAACAAGATTTTTTAATAAAATTTATTAGATTATTAGATTTATTAGGTTAGATATCCAATGATTGGCTGCAATCTATGTTTATTACGATTCCAAAGAAAACTACATGTGCAGATTTTAGAACAGTCAGCTTGATGAGTCATGTGTCAAAAATATTCCTCCGAATTATACATAATTGAATTTATCCAAAACTTAAGAAACAAATGAGTGATACTAAGTTTGGTTTTCGCAAAGGGCTTGGTGTAAGAGACGCCTTGTGTGGAATACGAGTCCTAATAGAACAATGCCGAGACTATAACAGGGATGTCTTTTTACATTTTACATTAGCACTACCGATTAGATGAAAAGGATATCCGAATAATAGCAAACTTATACTGGAAACAGATGCATACATTTCCGTACTCATAAACAATTTGAGGTACGCCGATGATACAGTGCTTAATGCCGATTCTCTAGAGAACTTACAGTATCTTTTAGACGTTGTTGCATTGAAGTGCATAAAATACAGCTTATAATTAAATTCCAGTAAAACCCAATATATGGTGGTGAGCAAACGACCTATTTCTGGAGGTAGACTGTCAGTATGTGGCTGATTCATAAAAAGAACAAATAAGTATAACAACTTGGAATGCCAGCTTGATGAGCAATGGGAAAACTATATAGAAACTCGCATCCAAATTGAAAAAGTAAGGTCTTCTTTTATTATAATGAAAAACTTGATGTGTTCCCGGGAACTGTCGTTACCGCTCAGAATAAAAATACTGCGATATTATATATTCTCTATACTCCTCTACGGGACAGAGACCTGGTCGATGTCTGTTGCTCGAGGCCATTAAAATGTGGTGCTATTGACGCATGTTTAAAATAAGGTGACTGAAAGATTTACAAATGCAGAGGTACTTTGGCGTGTCAACAAAGAGATAGAAATAAAAATTACAAAATTCCAATTAGAAATAAAATTGTAAAACAATAATAAAGTTATTAAACTTATCTACTCATTCTTCTCTTAAAATTCGGCTGCATATACACGTCGAACTATAACAAAGGTTCTTAGTTTGGTATCTAGAATTGTTTCTAACACTATCTTATATATCGCTTATTTATATGTTTAAAACCTTTATGTCTTCCCATATATAGGGAACCGTAATGCCTCAAACCGTAATATTACTGTAATACTTTAATTCTTAAACGAAATTACACTAATAAAAATAGTTTACAGTTACTTTTTCACTCATATATGATATTTATTTTCAAACAAAGATATACAAATATTTTTTAAATTATTTATTGAAACATTACATTTACAAACAAACATATTCGTATTCTATCTTTTAAAAAATAATTAAACAATTTTTACACGAATGAACTTAAACGTAAAATTTTACTTTAAAAAATTTCAGTTCCAAAATTTGATTTAATTCACATAATAAATTTAATAATGAAAATTCAAACTTTTTAAATTTTTTTTTTTTTTGGCACCAAATAAAAAAGTGAATCAATTTAATATTTAAGGACTAATAATCTCGTTAAAAAAGGCAAACCTCAAGAAATAGCAGAAACACCTATGCTCTTTACAGGGCAAGAGTAACTTTTTCTTCTATCAAAGTTTCGTTTACAGCCAAAGTTTATCTTTTGTTGAATAAAAACGTAGTTTAAAGTTAATGTAAGATAAAAGATAACACTATATTATCAATATTTGTTTCCTATATTATCAATCGAGAACTTTTGTTTTTCTTGCTTCTACCTCGCAAAATTTCGAAAAATTCTACCTTGAGAAAATCTGCCCTTAGCGAAAATTTCTGCTTCTACCTCGCAGTCTATATTTGAGTTACACGTGAAAATTTATATATCGTAGTTTAACGAAGCCGCTGAATTTGTATGCACTAAATTATGTAAAGTCATAGTATAGCTCATACAGTTCATTGTTCCATATAATTCGCTGCTCCTCGCTAACGCGTAAGGGACCATTTTTATTTTTTGTGTTTGGTTTATAAGTTACTCTATTGAATTGTTGTGGATTAAAGTGTCACTTAAAAAAATGTCACATGTGATTTGCGTTCTGTCATGTGTAATAATAAATTTGTTCAAATATAAATTTATTATTTTTTTTTTGAATCAGACTTTCATTCGATATAATATATTTCTTCTCTTTTTAATTCAGCAGGAAGAAATCTGCTCATTAGTAGGCATCCGAGAATGCCGAGACAAAAATAATTTGTGAGACTTTTGTTTGGGTTGACCCACGTCAATGCTTAGAAAATATTATGACACATTCAAGTGTGTCATATCGACATGTGCAGAATAGTAGCACAGAAAAGAAAAGTGTCAAATAGCAATTGCATACTTGCTATGACCAAATATTCTACTTGCATTGCGGTGGTTCTTCCGTGTGCGATCGCATTACATATTACATTAGTTAATATAAAATAATTTGTGCATAAGCACTTTCAAAAATACATAACATAATTTATTGTTTGTTTTTGTTTACATTGATGCGCTATACACAGCACATGGTTTGATATGAAAAGAATTCTTGCCTCTGGCATCAAAATGCCGAAGGCGTTATAAAATAAAGAAATTCAAGAGGATTTAGCATTTGGCATCAAAATACCGGTTGCGTAATATTCTACAGAAATACAGGAGAATTTAGCTTATAACATCAAAATAATTATAATTTCCTAGAGAGACGGCGTTATAATTTCCTAGAGAGACTTAGGTACTGCGTTGGTGCTTACCTCGTCGGTGTGTTGGCGCTAAGAGATTTTTCATACAAATTAGGCTTATATTTATATGAAAAATCACCATTTTTTTACTTTCTGCACGCATATCCGCACATGTCATTTTTTGCACATTTAAAGGTTGATCGAAATTTTGTCTAATTTTTGCATTACATTGCAAATTAACCTTTTCTTGAAGCTTGCCTTGCCTTGTGCTGGCTGAGCATGTGGGTTTTGCTGCTACTTTATAAAACTGGTTCGTTCAATTTATGAATGAATGGTGCATAGTGGTGGTTGTTTAATAATTGCATTTATTTATTATAATAAAATAAATACTAATCCGTAAGTAAAAGATATACATGTATATGGGTGATTCTTTTACAAACCGGACGGATTTTGGCAAAAAATGACCTCATGACCTCTGATTTGTCTGAAATTTTTTTTATGAGCTCTTTTCATAAAATAAGAAGACCCATATCTCGGAAAAAAATTTGTGATTTTTTTCCTAGGAGATATGGACTCATGGGGTTTTGAGAATTGGCATTGTAGACACATTTTCAAATGGGTGTATCTCAAGTTCTATAAAAGATAGAAACTTGAAATTTACAACGTTTCAAAGATAATTGATTGTACTTTTACGAAATTTGTTAAACAATTAAAATAGTTTATATTTAAGTACTAATATTAACCGTTAAATTTAAAAAAAAAATTTTCTCAAAACATTAGCTAAATTTTCATTTTTTATATTTTATTTACATTCAGTTTTAAATTCTTTGAAGTCTTTCTTTGAAATTTTTTAATATTTTTTTTCTTCCGCAAAATACATCAAGCACATGCGTACTACATTTCCATTGAATGAATTTTCAAAAAATATGCTACAAATAGTCTTATATGATATTATTGATTTCGATTAGTAATAAAATTCTACATAAATCTCAAAAATTTCTGGACGATATTGTCATTAGAAGTACTTTTAAAAATTTATTTATCCTTCATATTAGACCAAACACATACACACGATTCTTCAGTAAAAAAAAACGGATTATATCACACAAATTTTTTTATTTTACTTTTGATTCAGATTAATGTATAAATTCTACTTAAAAAATAAATATTTTCAGTGTAATATTCCTTTTAGAAGTAATTAAAAAA